CCGGCCCTGCCGTTGCAGACGAAGGGTGCTGCGGTGTCTGAACACGGGGGTTGTGTATCGTGGCCCTGCGTAACCCCTGTGCTCTGCTTCACTTGGCTCACCCGCTTCCAGGAGAAAGGGTCACTTTGCACAATGTCCAGCAAATGAGTTTCCTGCACCCTAGTAACTCTTGGCCCTTGCGCTGGCAGATCCATAAGATCCTGCAGATTTCGGTGTTGGTGGTGGAGCTCCTGGACACGGGCTCCTCTGTGCTGGTCAGTCTGGAGGACGGCTGGGACATCACCACGCAGGTAGGAGCCCTACAGCTGCCGAACGCGACGGCTGCCCGTGGGCGTCTCCCCACGAGCATCTCAAGCCCCCATGTCCCTGCAGGTGGTCTCCTTGGTGCAGCTGCTGTCGGACCCCTACTACCGGACGCTGGAGGGCTTCCGTCTGCTCGTGGAGAAGGAGTGGCTGTCCTTCGGGCACCGCTTCAGCCACCGCGGGGCCCAGACCCTGGCTGGCCAGAGCAGCGGTTTTGCTCCCATCTTCCTGCAGTTCCTGGACTGCGTACATCAGGTGAGCTCTGAGCGCGCCGGCTCTGCACCGGGGCTGGTTGGCTCCTTGTCCAGCGGGGAGCAAGTCCAGAGCCAGCCTGCAGTTTGTGGGTCCCGGGAGGTCTCACCCATGCTGCTCCTTGCAGATCCACCTGCAGTTCCCCATGGAGTTCGAGTTCAGCCAGTACTACCTGAAGTTCCTCAGCTACCACTACATTTCCAACCGTTTCCGGACGTTCCTGCTGGACTCGGACTACGAGCGCATCGAGCTGGGTGAGAGCAGTGTGCGGGGCCCGCAGCGGATGGCAGCCCAGTGCCTTGCCCCAAATAATGCCCCTCCCCGCTCTCTTCTCCGCAGGCCTCCTTTACGAGGAGAAGGGCGAGCGGAAGAGCCAGCAGGTCTACAAGTCCATCTGGGATTACATCGACCGGCTGAACAAGAAAGCCCCCATCTTCTTCAACTACATGTATGCCCCTGAGGATGGGGAGGTGAGAGCTCTGCTCCTGCCCTGGGTCAGCCCAGCCCAGCCCCCCCACGCCGCAGTGGGCTCAGACGGGGCTTTCCAGGGGCACCCCGGGGTCTTCTCGCCCATGTGGACCTGAGCGAGCAGCCCCGTGTCAGCTGGACCATGGCGTTTGCCCACCTGAGTGGTTTTGCCCGGCTGCCGCACCGGGGCCCTGGGGAGGGTGCCTGCCGCCTCGGGGGGCACGAGCAGAGTCAGGCCCCTGCGAGCTGTGTCCCTGCGGAGGAGTCGGGGGGACGTAGGTGAGGCTGCAGAGGGGAGATCCTGAGCTGGAGCTGTCAGGGTCTCGTTTTGGGCTCTTCACCGCCACAAGCTGGGAACGTCCTTCTTCGGGGGGAGGAAGCGGCAGGTTCTGGCACGTGGCCTCGGCTGGGGGGGGGGGCCGGGG